TGACCAGGGGGTGACGGTTGTGGTGGCTGTGGTGGCTATGGTGGCAGGTGGCTGGGGGAAGGGAGGCGCCCTGGCTAGGGACCCTACCAGTGCACAAATTTCGTGCACTGGGCCTCTAGTTATTAATGTTAATTTACATGATATCCTTTATTCTAACATAGATAAAAGAGCATTAGAAACATCTCATTTATCCTCATAATGGAAAAAAAAAACAAAGAGAGAGAGAAGTGTTTCAATGGTCTTGAAATTTCTATCTTTGGTAATTCCTTCTTTCTCATTAACCTGAAAATCCAGATTAATCTTTATAGAGATACCTTCAAAAAATAGGTTATTTACAGAAACTTTTAGCAATCTTCTCAGGAAAAATTCCACACTAGTCATTCTAATAGTCATGGAGATTCATAGCTCCCTCTTATCAATCCAGCTGTCTTTCTCGACATATACCCTCCTCCAGATGCTGCTCTTCTTGCTAAGTGCTCTCTTATGGTCTTGGTCTTCTTCATACTGTTTCTCCCACTCAGGTCCTTCTTCCTCTTCCTTTCACTTTATCCAAACCCTTTCCATTCTTCCAGCTAAAATACTTTCTCCTCTAGGAAACCTTAAAGGCTACTCCAGTTCATTTTAAACTTTCCTGTCATGCTATAAACAGTTTGTTTATTAAGTATTACTAATAAAATATGAGACATAATGAGGTTTAAGCAAGACCAGATTTCAAGTCTTCTGAGTGAATTCCTTTCCCTGGGCTATCTTTGTGCCTTTCTGCCATTTCTATTTTTCTTTTATTATTATTTTTCTCATTTTTATTTCTCTTTTTTTCTTTTTCTCTTTTAAATGCAAAGAGACACATTCTAAGCATGGGGCTTAGAAAGCAATGCTTGGAGGAGGAAAACCAATAGATGGCAACTAGATGACTAAAGCACCTAGTGTGGAGCATATCCCATCTTTCCACAATCAACACAAAATAAACACCTCAAATGCCACAATCACTCGCATCGAAGAAGAACTGCATTTATTGTTAGGACAATTCCCAAAGGGTTGGGGTATGACAGCCCAAGATTCTGAGAGGGGAAACAACAAAAACCTCATCTAGTCAGTTCATCATGGAAATAATAACATACTTTACAGAAAATAATGGAAAAACATATAGGGTATTAAGGGTAGGGAGGCAATAAGAAATATAAACATGGGAGCTAAGAAATTTAGAAATAATAAAGGATATCTAAAGTTATAAAGAAAGGAAAACAATGGTACTTCAATCTGAAGAGAGAGAAATAGAAGCCTTCATCTTTTGCCTAGAAGAAACACTTCTATCATAATAAAAGCGTAATATGCAAATCGACCAAACAACTGAACAGCAGAATGACCGTTCGGATGACCTTCCAGATGACCATATTATGACATGCACTGGCACCAGGCCAGCCACGGTGGGTGCAATGTAGTGGTCGGGAGACCCTGCCATGGACCCACTATGTCCTGCTCTGTGATCGATCACCCCAAAGAGGGAGTCCCAGGTCACAGGCTGGCAGGGCAATCGATTGGGGGAAAGGAGGTATCTATGATCACCCCACAATGGGAGGCCCAGGCCAGCCAAGCAAGCAATTACACCCCAGGCATATTGCCCATAGAGGTAACTGGTGGCAGGGGAGGGGAGGGGCAGTGCTGCAGAGATGGCAAGCAGGGGCAGTGGTGGGGTGTGGGTGGGGGGCCCAAGACCAGCTGCCAGTAACTGGAGCAAGAAAATCCTGATAGGCCCTAATTGCTGGCCAGGCCTAGGGACCCTATCCGAGGGGTCCTGGATTGCGATAGGGCATAGGCCAGGCTGAGGGACATCCTGCTCCCATGCACAAATGTTGTACACTGGGCCTCTAGTTTTTAAATAAAAAGCTGAGACAAAGCCACAAGATACCCTCCAACAGTAATCCTTTGGATTAAAAGAGAAGCACATTTGAAAGGGCATGATCAGTGGTGTTGTTTCACACTAAACACCTCATATTTTCAAAAATGTTTTTCCAATCACCCTGCTAAAACTTGTGAAAGAAAAGAGCCACATGCTAACCTGACAAGCTCAGGGAAGGCCTGTGTGGCAGTCTTGCAAACCCAGAGACCTAAGATAACCACAAAAGATGGTTTGAAAATTAAATATCTAACAGGTTATAGTAGGTAGTCATGTCCCATATATTTTCCCAGACAAAGATCAACTTTGATCTTTTTACTGAGGCCATTTGCCATCATGCCTCTAAGATAACATATCTATGAGATGTCTGCGTAACTTGTAACTTCCCTTTTTTTCCGGAGCCCCTGGGGAACAACCAAATGTGGTGAGCGCCAGGACAGATGCCTCAAATTCCTTCGTTATCATGTAAATTGTTCCTGCACTCACCTGAGTACACGTTCGTCATTTTACTTTTTATCCAATCCCCGGACTTTCCCACCACTTTGCTTTCTCCCGCCTCCTTATTCCATCAACAATGAATTTCATGGAACCCACCTATGTCCCTCCTTTGATTTCAGTGTATAAATAGAGAAATGTAACCCGCCATTCTTGGGAGCATTATCTCAATTCGTTGAGTTTCTGCTTCCCGGCATATGTCGACAGAAAGGCTCAAATAAATTCATAAAAAAATTCTTTACAGGTTTCAATGTTTTCTTTTCATTAACAAACTGAAGGAGGTATGGGGATAGAACCTGAAAAAAGAAATCCCTGTGCAAGCCTGTCACACAAATCCGAATGATCTAATATTCTTGAATTTACTTGGCTGGCTCTATTTTGTCCTCCTTCCAGGTTATGTAGAAAAACAAACATGAAAATCAAGATGAAATGTAAAGCACGATCACTTTAAAAATAGTCTTCTTACTCTCTCAAAATCAACATGAAAAAATGCTATGATACGCACTGGAGCATTAATAGTTAATGTAAAGGAAAACAAAGAACTTCTAAAACTCTCTTACATTCAATAGTTAATGACTATGTTTTTAACTTTCTTTTGTTGAGTCATCAACTCTCCTTCCCCCACTTCTTAGTTCCCAGGGTCAACGAGCAACATTTTATAAATCACGGGACTGGATTTGCTATGTTTGGTCTTGAGCCAGTTTCTTTATTATCTCTGCTGTTGTACACTACAGTTTTGTAGACACACCAAATAAAATGAAGAAACAAAACCAAGAGATTATTTCCAGGCTGTAAACTGTTACTAGTACACAACATTTCAAACTGTTGATAGACAAAACAATGCATAATCCTTTATTCCTGAATCTTTTAGAAGAGAAACTGGGAGTGGGGGGAAGTGAGAATGGGAGGTTGTGATTTCCTTTTCTGTCAAACTCCTTTGTCCTCCTTTGCCTCAGTATCCCAATTTGTTTATTTGTATTGTTCAGGATTTTGTTTTCTTCCCTAATTCTGCCTAGTGCAAAATGCCTTGAGTGTTTTTTTTACACCATTCCATCACAACAAAAAAAGAATCAGGAAGGCTATATGTATACTCATTTGTAATCTTCCAGATCTTGCTTCCAGCATTCCTCGGTCTTCAATTGTAGTGTCTCAGAAAATCTGTGAAACCATGCAGTTCACAACCAACCCCACCGAGTTGATTCCTGGACAAGTGTTTAAATAAGTTGCTGTAAGTTGAATGGCTAGTTAGGGTCAGAATTCACGAGAACTAAAACCCAACCAACCGTTCCTATACTCCATGGAACAATGAAATTCAGAATGCCTGAGCAGACACAAGGTCTGGACTGGGTTTCTAGCTCCATCCAGGATGACTCTTGGACATATATGATCAGAAAGATTCTGAGACCGTGGGCAGGGATTGATGATCTGATTCTATGGAGTTTAAGAAGCCGAGCCTTCCTAGAGCAGGACCTGCTTTCTTCCGGGTTGACCCAGGGCAGAGCTGAAACAGCTGAAACATTTTAGAGCACACCCACATCTCTGGCTGAGCAGAACAGAGTGGGTGGGAGAAGGGCCATCTGTTGACACGGTCATTAATCCAATAACAGTGCTGGCCAGCATCCTCTCTTGAATTAGTTCTAAGCAAAATTTCTTCAAAATATAATTTTGTTTTATCTTTAAAACTCACCCCCCCCCTCCTCCCTCAGAAAACTACTAGAGACTCCATCATCAACATGGAGTACTTTGCCTTGAATCACAAATCAGGCCAGTATGCATGTGGGGTTTGTCCAAGTCTGCTTCAGAGTGGAACATTTTGTTTTCGGAATGTGAGAAGTATGAAATACAAACCTGCCAAAAGGCTTCCTCTGAATCGCTCTGGGACTAGGCAGGGCAGGCATTAACTTTCCCAGGGAAGGGAGAAGACAAGGCAAGTCTGAGTCAAGGTAACGCCCTTGGGTGAGGCCTGGGGAAGATAAAGAATTCAGATCCCAAAGATAGAGCCCATGAAACATTCCTGCGCCCCACGGAGTTGGTTCCACAATGCAGTGAGAAAATGCACGCCCCAACATTTCACGGCCTTTAGACTAGCAGCGGGGGCAGCAGGCAGGGAAGGGTGGGCCTGGGGCTGCCAGCCAGAGGTTAATCATTTGCAGGAGAACCCCAGGAGAGGGCACCTCATTTTTCTACACAACTGTAGCCCTGAGTGTGGTAAACCTGTTAGAAGCGGATTGAGAACTAGAAAATCCAGGTCCGCACTCAGGAGCGCCCCTCCCTTCATTGCCGATCACGCGTGGGGCCTGCGGGGGGCCGGCAGGGTCTGGCTCCGTGCAAGGTCGGCCCCTCAGCCCCGCCCACTTCTCAACCAGCCCCGCCCCTCCCCGCCCCTCACGCACAGACCCCGCCCCCTCCAGCTCAGACCCCGCCCAGGCCCCGCCCCGCCCCGCCCCGCCCCGGGGCCGCGCGAGCCGACTCCGCCCTCGCCCGGGAGCTCGGGGCCGCGGGAGCGCCGCCGCAGTAGCTGCCTGGCCGCTGCGGAGTGACCCGTCCGTGCCGCTCCGCTCCGCCAGCCGCGCTCCAGCCCGCCGCCCTCCGTGGGCACCCCGGCCCCGCCATGGTGAAGGTGACGTTCAACTCGGCTCTGGCCCAGAAGGAGGCCAAGAAGGACGAGCCCAAGAGCAGCGAGGAGGCGCTCATCATCCCGCCCGACGCCGTCGCGGTGGACTGCAAGGTCCGAGGGCGGAGGGCCGGGCGGCCTGGCGGGCGGGCGGGCCGGGGGCGCGGGGCCGCGGGAGCCAGCCGGGCTCCCCGTTCTCCTCGAGCGGCGCCCCTCCTTTCCGGCCGCAGCTCCTTTGTGAGAAAGTGCGTGGTGCGGGAGCCGGGCCTGCCGCGGGCTGGGGCTCGGGGGCCCGCGGAGGGGCGGGTGGAGGATGGAGCCGCGCTGTCTGCCGTCGGCGCGGCCGGGGGCCCGGGGCGGGGTTCCTGGGCCCCGGGGCCGCGGCGCCCAGCGGAGCCACGAAAACAAGCCCGGAGTTTGGCACCTCCTCCCGCGGTGAAGGATGAGCCTAAGATGGCTGACCGCACGGCCAGCCCGCGGCGCCGCCGCCGCTTCCTGCTTTCGCTGCGAGGCCGAGCGGCCCTTGGACCGAGTCCCTCCGCTGGGACCCCGGGGTTTAAGAGCGTTTTCCCCTCCTCCCCCGCTCCCCGCTCCCCGCTCCCCGCGGCCCCGACCCCGGCCCCGGCCCCGCTCCCGCAGGGGAACTCCGGGACGGGGCTGCCGGGGGAGCGAGGGCGGGGAGGGAGGAGGAGAAGCCAAAGGGAAGGTGCGCGGGGTAGGCTCTGGCTGTGGATTTTATAACTAAAACACTGCAGCCTAAAGATCAGTAATTACTATGTGGATGTTACTGTAAAAAACCGACAGTTGGCTTTTATAGGGCCCTTTAGGCGAAGGGAAACTAAATGTCGCAAACTTGCCCAACCTCCCGTGCAAAAATGTTCCTTTATTTTGCAAAACCCCTCTTTTAGTTCTAAGTAAAATCAGGAATGAAGACATAATTGTGCTAATTTTCGTTGGCGTTTTCAAAGACTTTTAACACTGGGATAAACTCAGTTTTAACTTAAAAAAAAAAAACTTCAATGTGTGTGCAGGTATGCATAGTAAGCATTATTTTTTTTTTAAATAAAGTCTACTGAAAAATAGGCCACTAACGTACTGTAAAAATGTTTGAGAATTTAATGTTAATCTGGATGCAGAAATGTTAGCCTGTAACTTATTTTTGGAAATGTTCTAGTTAGAAACACAAAGGACAGGGTTGATTTTAAATGTCTGCCTTGACTTGAAATAGGAACAGTGAACTTATTCCCTTAAGGATTAAGTTTGGATATTGGTATTGTTTTTCTGAATCCATTGCAAACAGGCTTGGTCTTACAAGAAAATGTTTGGAATGCACAGACCATAATTCCAGTAGCAAGTTATTATCTTAGCTCTGCATTTATGTAACATTCAGTGTACCTGAAATAGATTGATAGTCAAGTGCCCAGTCACAGCAGTCTCAAACACATATATATAGATAGATTTTAATTCTATTATATGTCTTTTTAAGTTATATAAACAAATATGATTCCTTCCATTAAAAAGGGGGAGGGGAGCATCAGATGATGTCACTTCAGACAGCTGTGCTCTGTTCCCCTGAAGTGAAGATCTGAAACTGCACAGAAATCAGAATTAATTTGCTGGGCAGTTTTAAATCCAGCTTTTGACATTTATTGCCATTTCTGAAATGTTGGTCCTGTTTTTAGATCCTCAGAATTTCTCACTATTTCACCATAGTCACATTTTTTGGTTATAGCAGCTATAAAAAAGTAACTATTCATAGCTCTGTGCTTTGTTTTCCATTTCTATTTCCTCAGATCCCCATATCCAAAGAAAAATATTGGAACTAAGCTGTGAGGCTAGAGCCTTCCTTTGTGACCACATAGCAGTTATGGATGAATGGACAGATACAAAATGAGGAATTCTTTTTCTAGCTATAAACTCAAAGACTTCTTCAGCGAGTGACAAAATACTGCTCTACGTGAAAAGTAGAATCCTTATAATCAGCTAGTCACTCAATGATAAGTGAAAAGCTTATAACAGACATTTATGAAAGAACTGTCTCTTCATCTTTGAGCTTGGGCAGTGATTACATAATGTCCTCTGGCTCCTTGGGGTGACTGTACAGTAGACAACTAGTTTGACTGCCCGGATTCTACACAGAATCACCCTTCCGGGGTATTTCCTCGTTGGTTGAGAGGATCAAATAAAGCTAGTTATGGACCAGAACTCCTGACCAAGAATTGGTAATACCTTTAACCCTCCTAGAACACAATATCCTAAAAAACAGTGATCTCAAAATGTATTCTTAAGCGGCACTTGTTCTCATATCATCCCGGATTCTGATTTGAAAATACAGATTCTACTACCTTATGCTTCAAGAATTCTATCGCTCCAGTCAGCTGGTTTATGTAATATGCATTCCAGTACTTTTACACTGCTCTTATATTTTGCTGTATTTTTTTTTTTTTTTTACTAGCTCTTTTCTCACTTTAGGGTGAGAACCCACTGGAAGCAGTTTTATTGCCCTGTTTTTCAATCTTGTCTTTTCAGTAACTGTTAATTCCAATAGCCATGTCTGTTGATTTTTTAAAAAAATCTCAACCAGCTTTGCTATTTTTTAATTCTTTTCCTACATTTCCCCTTAACTATTTTTACCTTCCTCCGCCTGTCCCAATCAGCACAAAACTCTTAGATGAGTAGAAACAGCAAAAAAATACTACCTATGTTTTGTATAAAAGGTGAATTTGAAATTAAATGCATGTTTTATGTTACAGGCAGAAAGTATCCGTAGCTTTGAACTTTGCAAAATCGTTTGTTGTAGCTGTGTAAATGTCAAAGAAAATATTTGATGTACTGAGTCAGATATCTAAGTTTTGTCCTTAACTGTTTGGACTTGGATTTAAGATTTTAGGTAGATAACAGGGTAAGGCCAAATAGTTTGTAAGGACTCTTCCAGTTTAAATATTCTATGAAGATACTAGGACTATATAATTATATTTGGCAGGAATTAAATTTTCATTGTAAAAAATAACTACCTCCTCACCCTTACCAGACTGTTATCCTTCCTGTATTTTGCAAGTTATGTTCCTTCCTCATATTAAGTAGCAATAGGTCAAAGAGAAAGGAGATAGATAAAGTTATTATGTAATGCATCAAATATTCATTTGGGGTTATGTCACTGTAGAACGGGCAGGGGACATTTTTTTCTGAAAAGGGCCATTTGGATATTTATAATATCAGTCACGGACCATACAAAATTTTCAACTTAAAAACTAACGGGCTATATGTGGTCAAACATTTAATTAGCTCACCCCTAATGCCTTGGCACGGCCAGACTAAATGATTTCACAGGCCTTATACATCCCGTGGGCCGGACATCTCCACTCCCGCTGTAGAACAATAATTGTCAACAACTCATTTTGTTGTAATGTAATTATGAAACACCTTTCCCAGTGTCCTACCTGGAAAAGGCTAACTTTTGCTTCAAAGATATCCCATACAGCATTTTGCTGATAGGTCATAATGCCTCTTCTCATACATTGGAGTTGTAGATGTTCTTAAAAGGGAGATTTTTTTAAATCCTCACCAGAGGCTATTTTTCCATTGATTTTTAAAGAGAGATTTGGAAGAGAGAGGGAAAGAAAGAGAAATATTGGTTGCCTTGCAGAGCCCTGACCAGGGCCCAGGCTGGGGAGGAGCCTGCAATCTGGGTATGTTCCCTTGACTAGAATTGAACCCAGGACCTTCGGTCCAGAGGCCGATGCTCTATCCACTGAGCCAAACTGGTTAGGGCAAAAGGGAGATGTTTTTAAAAGTGTAAAGTGTTTGTGTGGGGGAGAAGATGGGGCAGGATAGAAGCTTGAGAAAAAGTGAAAGAATAAACCGAGTAAGGTCTGAGTTACCCATCATAAATGGCTATTTTTTGGGCCCTTATCCTTGACACTTACTGGCATTTCCTGTTTACATTAAACTGAGCTAGAGGGTTTGGTAATTTAGTTTTTTGTTTTGTTTTGTTTTGTTTTTTTGTGGTGGTGGGGGGCGGAGGAAAGGAACAAAATATGTGATGACATGACTGAAATGTGTTGATCTTCACAGAGGTGATTGAGAGCTTGGTTCTCCTTGACAAGTGCAGATCATTACCTAGTGTTTGTAAACATCAGTCTGAAAAAGCTTTGCAGGCATTACATTTTGGTTCTTCATGAGGGTATTGATATCTGAAGTGAAGATAAATCATTTGCTCTGTGCATGCCAAGTGACTTGGCAAGACCTGCTGTGTACACACGACCCATTGGATGCTGCTCCTGCAGAGAGTGGACCAGGTTGCTTATTGTACAATTGGAGGACAGGTTACCTGCTTGGGGTAATATATTTTATTGATTTTTTTACAGAGAGGAAGGGAAGGATAGAGAGTTAGAAACACTAATGAGAGAGAAACATTGATCAGCTGCCTCCTGCACACCCCCCACTGGGGATGTGCCTGCCCCAAGGCATATGCCCTCTACTGGAATCAGCCTGCAGGCCGATGCCCTATCCACTGAGCCAAACTGGTCAGGGCCAAAATCATAAACTTCCAAGACATTGTAGAACTCAACTCTCTCATGTAAGAGAGAGATTTAAGTGAGTAGAAATATTTTTGAACAGAAATATCTCCTGGACAACATGGTTACAAGCGTTTTTAAATTGATTTAGAATTTAACTTAAGAGGTTTTCATTATGTATCACTGAAGTTTGACTTGCTTTTAATGTACATTGAAAATGTTATAAGTAGTAATTGTGGGACATTTTCTTTCTTTTAGTGCTATCGAATCGTAACCTAAATGACTGAGGTGTCTATTTAAAAGGCATGTTGTTTTTTTCAACAGGAAATGCTTTCTGAATTCACATTATAACTAATGGTACTGGGACTGCTTTGTCTATCTTTGTTATCAGTAGAGAATGATCCAGAAAAAATTTCCTCAGATACTTTGATGAATTTATTCTCCTAAACTTTTTGGCATTTTTTTATTAGTGCTCAGACTGAAGAAGTTAAGGACTTTGCCCTTGAAGATCTTCAGGCCACAACTGCTGTTAAATAAAGGATTTGACAATTTTGAATTTCTGAATGAGGTTTTTTGTTTATATAATGTAGAAAATAG